GATGTCCATAACTCTGAGGTTCTACTCTACCTACTTCAAGTTTGCTTGGCCAATCAATCAGCATGATAGCAGCAAGCAAAATCTTCCTATCCATACAAAGCAGCAGAGCTATTCCTCAGGTTGAGTGAGAATTGTATCAGCTGGACTGTACTTTTCCATTTGGCTCAGTAGAAACAGAATGATGACCTCAGATACCAGGGATAGTTCTGCAGCAACTTGCAGTATGTACGTGTAGCCCATTCCTCCTGTTACTCGTTGTGCTACTTGCATCCCAATATCACGGAAGGAACTTCAGGCAAACTTCTGTGCAATGAGCTGTGACCATACATTAGGGGGGTGGGGGAGGGGCAGAAGCCAATTGGTGCTTTCATACTGATGAGGTTTTGAATCCTATGGGAGACTAGATAGCAAACTCTGAAATGTTGTAGTTACTGCGTTTCAAAATGATTTGATGGTCAAAACACTTGGGATGGTGTTTATTTAACTTTTTCTCTGTACCATAAAAATTTGCTTAGATGATACCTCAGTAGATCATTTTCTTACTGACATGTACAGATAAATAGACTTTATTGCTTAACATCCTTTGGCTACAGATGGCACCTGTAACACTTATAAAACTTGCACCACTCACATTTGTAATATTGGTTTAATCTGCAGGAAGGGTGTGGACGTTGCTGATTTTTTCAACCATTTACTAACGCAAGGGGGGAAAAAAAGGTGAAGGGTTAAACCTAATCATCTCCGTCAGGGAGCAGTATGAGTTTGTGGTTAGAGCATGGGACAGAGAGCTGGACTCTAGCCCAAGATGTGCAGTAGATTCTCTTCATGACTGAGAGTAAATTATTTATCCTCTGTTTACTTCAGCTTCCCCAGAGAGCAAACTGAGATGGTACTTCCATATTGGCGCTTATCTGGTAACTCCATCAGTGTCTGCAGAACATAACTTGAAATCTAGCTTTTTTTGGTAAGTCCTTCTGAATGGGAACTGGGGCAATGCTGTCTTCCTGACTCCACAAAAATAAATTAAGGGCCTGATTTTCCACTCACTCCCATCAGTTTTGAAGTCTTGATTTACCTGTGGTGTGAGAGGAAAATCAGACATTATAGTTCTTAAGGTATAAAGCTATATTCCTTTGTATGTGATGTTAACTCTGAAGTCTAGTGATGCTTGTATAAATGTCAGGATTATTAATTATTGCACCAGTGGCAATTTGAGAAACATCTGACTACTCTCTGATTGTAAGTGGAGTTTGGGACTGTGGAAGGAGCTTGTGTAGAATATCATCATTTCCCCCCTTACTCTTAAACCTTACAACTGGTTTCCCAATAAATAAAATATTTTTAAAATGGTTGCTGTGCTATTTAGCACAGTATAGTTTTATTTCCTGCTTGGAAAAGTAACTCTCAGAATAGTTTTTTTGGGAATATTTTCGAATATAAGACAATTTCCTGTGAATGTTCAATACTTGCATAACAGTCACTGTTTTGCTGAACATTCCTGCCTATAAATTTGTACACCAGAATATGTGTGAAAAGCAAACAGGATGGCGGGAGGGGCGCATGAATTTTCAGAGTTAAAGTAAACTCATTTAGAAAGTTGAATGACCAGTGGCAGGATTTTTTTGCTACATTTTGTGTGACACTAAGGATAAATGGGCTGTACTGCTTCTGTTTCCTTAGTAGGAGTGTAAGTTTTCTGTGCAGAACATCTGAAAACAAGGCCCCTCTATCAGGCCCACTGGCAGCTTTATTACCATGTAATACAGCACAGAGAAACATATCACATTGTCAAAATGGCAGCCAAATCACTGGAGAATACAGGTTCCAAAAGGCCAATGGTAAGGATAACACACACAACAAAGGCTCGGTTTTAGGGTTTATTTCATCTGCTAACATTCATTCTTGATCTAGACAAAAACAATTAGATTATTATTTTGAATCAAATTTTTTTTTTGTGGAAAGAAAACAAACAAACCTTAACACTTCTTTTTGTAGGATGCTATAAATAAATATATAAAGCTTTAAGTGGTACTTGGCTTAAGTTAAACAGTTTTTTTAGTTCCCAAAATGAAAGTGCAAACCATACAGATTCAGCCCAATGGAAACACTTAGGTGGATGGCCTCAGCCACTATTCTTTTTAAAAGAAGCTGAATCTGTTTGATCTACAACTGGGGGGAAAACAGGAGTGAAGGGTTTTATTTTAATTTTAGTTTTTACCCTCAGTCACACAACTCCTAGAGATAAGAACTGAGTTCCTTGGTAGATAAAACACACAAGAAAGGGGAAGGAAATGAATGCTCCGTCTCCATTGTCCATTATCTCTGCGGCACTCCTTGTACAGCAGAGTGGAAATTAAAGAGAACACAAGTGAAACCTCAGACAAAAGCAAATGACAACACAAAATCAGATCCATTACCAATAAAACTGGTGGTAAATCCTGTGGCTGCTGTTCATTTGCCTGGCAGACTATACACACACAAACTTCACATTTGAGTTGTTTTTTTAAAAAAAGCAATTAAAATGAATGAAAAGGGGCAATAAAAATAAGTTAAAAACATATTCCAATATGTACAAAACAAATCATGCTCAGAAACCATTTTAATATAAAATTAATTATAGTACAGCTCTCTCAATCCAGTATGTAGAAGGGACCCCTGGGAGGGCTGAGGAAGTGGGGACTTGGGGGAAGAAAAAGGCTTGATTGCAAATCACGCTTTTCATCTTGGATGGCTAAGAATTGTACTGAAAACCACCACCCTTAGGGTGGGCAAAGCAAGCTTTAATACCCAAGTGGTTATAAGGACCACATTCCCCTTGCCAGAGTTCCTGTAGATAGGACAAACAGGCAGCCACAGAAAACTCTGATTGTGTGTGAGGGACCCACTGATCATTGCTTTAACAGGAACTACTGCTAACTGAGCTGTGCTTTAAAGGCCTGGCTCTAGTAGCATTCAGCCAGCAAATCTCGTGTTCATTTCTGCTACTGGAACATGATATGCTAATATTAACAAAAATGAAAACAAAAGCTAACCCAGTAGCACTGTGATTTGAATGCAGCAAATTATGTGGACTGCATACTGAAACATATCCTTTGAAATACTACATTTAGTAAGCCTGTGTGCAGATTACTGTAGTGCTACTTATTTGTTACCTTCAAAACATTCCAGAGGGGGAGGCTGGCTCAAAGAATTGGTAATAAAGGGCAATGGAGCCTTTTAACTTTGTCACAAATTAAAGTCATACCTTGCTCAGTAATAACACGGTCAGTACCATCTGATAGCTGTTCAGTGGTCAAGTGAGCAGGTGATCTCTGTGCCTCAATCTAGTTTCTAATGGACAAGTGTCTGCATCGCTATTGACAGCTGTACTTTCTTGCTTGTGATGCCAGCAGAGGAACAAAGCTAAGAAGCGAATGACCATGGAGTCTGAATTGTAAGAAAGGTTCAAAAAGCACACTGGAGGCTTTTGATGCTACTGCCTATGCTGTCCTTTTGTGGATAGACATGGGACTATAGGTGCTGGAACTAGGGGTACTGGAGGTGCTGCTGCATGCCCTGGCTTGAAGTGGTTTCCATCATATACAGGGTTTTCAGTTTGGTTCAGTGACTCTCAGCATCCCCACTTCACAAATTGTTCCAGCACCCCTGCATGGGACTGCAGCTTGCAGGAGTGACACAGTCTGAATCACACTAAATTCACTCCAAAATTTTGCTTTCAAAGTGTTCTAACAAAAACGTGGGCAGGGATGCTATGGAAGAGAGCAGCCTGAGAAGAAAGGAAATAAAGACCAGAAAAATGACCTGTGCTAAATGGTATTTCATTCACAAAGAATCCTTTGTTGTGAGATGTTTTGCCTACCTCTACAATGTAAGATACAACTGACTGGGCAAAAAGTTACAAGACACAGCATCCTTTCCAGTCAATACTGCACATTCTTCAATGGGCATGGCGAAAAGGGGCATCTAATTGGCTGGCTAGTGTTTGTGTGGGCAGGAATCTCATTCAGTATAACCATTCAGATTCAGGCTCATTAGCAACAACACACTTCAAGCAGTGAAGTTTCTCTTTTCAGGAGTCTAAAAGCACACGGTGGCCTGGTTCTTGCACTTATAGCTGTGCAAAGTGAAAGCGACGTGCTACTGGATCAGAATTCTCTGCACACTGGTGGGAGCATGTCACACCTCTTTTTGCACAGGTGTAATGACAACATAAACTCTAAGAAAATGGAGAGTCAGGCCATGGTCTTTCACTGGTGCCAACAATGCAGCTCCAATGTAACCACTCACACTAAGCATTAATGCTTGGATAAATTCTCATTAACACCCCATAAAGATCCCAACTGCAGTGAAGACTTTCCCTGGAAGCTCCCTGCAATCATAGCAGGAAAACAATGTAATAGTGAGTGTTGTATTGACTTGGGACCGGATTCAACTCCCATTGAATTCAATGGGAGTCTTTGTCAGAAACTTGCAATTGTCTTCACTACACCTATTGCTGTTATGAAATATTTCCTTGCTTAATGAAGAAGCATTGTATATAAGAAGCTCTAAATGTATAGAAAGCTCAGGGAGCAGCAGGGGAGATGTATTGGAAGAGAGGGGCACATATTTAACAACCACAAAATATCTGGCCAATAATTCCACTGGAGTTTCTTAAAGCAGATGGTGTCTATTAATTTTAAAACTACACATACATTTTTCATGTTATTGTAGCATCAAATAATCTGCTCCTAAAAACTGGTACCACTCCAAATTGTAGTACATATAAATCACAATAAACTACATTCACATTATGTCAAAGAAGCTCCTTTAAGCCCACTAAAGCAAGAAAATTCTGTGTCAGACAAGTGATGTATCCTACAGCTTACTGCCTGGCACCCAGCCCTTAAGAGTAAATTAGTGTAAGGTCTTTGGCCAAACAACTGGCCATAGCGGGCTGGGTATCCTTTGTTTCCTTTAATCACACTTAGAATTTAACTTTGCACCGCTTTGCACTAGTTAACCCTCACAACACTTCTTTGCAGTAAGTATTGTTATTCCCAATGAGCAGATGGGGAAACTGAGGCAGAGCTGAAGGGATGTGTCCGAGCCAGGATTTGAAAATAGAAATTTCTGACTCTCTGGACTGAGCTCAGGCCACTAGAAATCATCATACCTCTCTCTTCTTCCTTTTGTGGGTTTAAGTGAACTGCTAACAATACTCTGTAGTTTCATTTCATTTGTTGGTTACTGTAATATATTACAAAGCAAATGTTGAAAAGAAGTCTACCACTGACACGCTCTTGAGGTCAGAGGTTCCTTCTAATTTTGAACCATGTAGACAGATCCACTAAAATTCAGCCAGTTATTTAGAGCCCATAATGCAGAAATAACCTAGCCAGACTGGGCCAAATTCTACTGCCAGCCTTGCTCGGGCAGCTCCATTCATTGTCAACCTTTGTGTAAATGAAGGCAGAATTTGGCCCTCAGTATAATAATTGTTCTCAGAACTCAGTACCAGTGTATGTAGTACTGCACAGCATGCTCTCTTGTGGAGCTGTTTGGATGCGTACTTTGAATATGGATTAGTTTAGTAACTATTTGTGCATTATGGATCCATAACGCTGAATGCACAGTGAGAAGCCTTCGGGTAAAGTTTGATAGTGTGCACATAAAACAGTTGCTTTTTATAGCTCGTGTATAGTTTTGTGGATAAACAGCCTGTAAAATTGCATTTTGTAAAAATCAATGTTTTCTTTAGTTACAGCAACACACACGAGCACTGGGAACTAGCAAGCATTGTTATTCCTAATCCTGGAATTTAGAGGTGAAGGAATGGGTTTGTAACACCCTCTGCCCCCAAACCAAATTCCTTTGAGGGGGTGGTTTTGCTTTCCACATTTCAGCCTGGAACAAATATTTATGGCCATGTTATACACCTCTGAAAACCGGGAGCGGTTCTTAATGGAAACACTGACAGACCCTTAAAGAGAACAACACTAGCAGGTGTTGATTGATAAGCCTGATGTAACACAGCACTTCAGCATGTCTCACTATGGTTAAAGTTAAGATGTGTAAGTACTCTGCTGGCCCAGGCTGTGAGGGCCTGATCCAAACCCCACTGAAATCAAACAAAAGACTCCCACTGACTTCAATGGGCTTTGGATCAGAGCCATAATAGGGTTATGTTTTAACCCCAAGTGTTGCTCAGGTTTTCTGTCCAGATGCTCTGTCATCTTTCCGCTCTTTTAGGGAAGAGCACCTACAAAAGCAAGCTGTGTTGCTCACAGTTTATGTCGTGGAAATCAGGCAGCTCCTGCAGCAGGCATCCACCTCCCCTGCAAAACTCAATTTGAATTCTACAGTGTTGGTAACAGCATGCAAAGGCAGAGAGAGAATTAAAATACAAAGCGAGCAACACTTCAGTACATTCCTGTAAAGGGAAAGACAACTCTGTAAAAAGGACATGCTGGAGCTGAATATATCATCTCTCTGCCTCTCCTCCTGTGATTTCACTGTCATATTTGATCTGCAGTTAACACAGCCTCTGAAAATCAAGGTGTCTCCCATTTGATTCATACTTCACCCTAAACAGTAGCCAGTTCAGGTCCTAGGGGCCAAGTAATAATGGGTGATGTCTGCTCCATACAAAACCTGCTTCTTTTGCATGTTTCAGACCAACGCGGAAGTGCTTAGAATAGCAATAGCAACAACAAAAATAGACGGATTTGAACAGAGTGTGGGGGAAATGTGACAATCCATTGCCGTTCTCTGAATCGATTTGAGTAGGCAGAAGCTGGTTAGACTGCCACCAGACTGGGGAATGAAAGTTACCAGACTCTCTCAAAATGAGAAGGGTGCTGGTCTGATCAGGGCCTGAGACTGAAAACCATTACCATTGATTTCCCTTTCCAGGTTTATGAGTGCACCTTGTTTAAAATAAGATCTACAGAAAAGGCCATTCTGCCAAAATACAGCATGCACTGTCACCAGATTCAGACCAGCAGCAGGAAATCGTATTGCTCTGGAACAAGGTCCCAGACTGCTCCCTTTGGAATCAGTGGAAGTTTTGCTATTGAGTTTGGTGGGAGCAGGATTGGGAACATAATTTATCTTAAAAAAAAAATAGCATTTTTGAAATTTAGGTATGTGTATAATTATGTGTTCTCTGTAATTAAGATCTCATTTCTCACACCCCCCCCCCCAGCAAAATAAACATGTCTCCATTCATAACTGAGTACTTGCAGGGTATTACTAGAACTCTACCTGATGCAGGTCCATGCGGGAGTGATGCTATTCTCTCTCTCTGCTTGGCTTGTTTCATGTACAGAAAAGGCTTTTCATGTGCTGTTTACAAGTTACATTGATTAAGGAATGTACTGCACATGGGAAGGGGTGACAAGATTCCATCTGTGTGTACGTGTGTGATTCTACATGGAATTTGGTTGGCTTTTATTTGGCTTTTGGAACTTCTTTGTGAAGCAGAAGCTGGAGATGTTTGTGCATGAATTCACTAACTATTGTTACTATGGTAAAGTGGCGTACATGTGCGACACCAGTGCAATGTATCAAAACCATTGTGCTAAGTATATATTCTAGGCCACAGTCAATTTGCTTTAATGTTTCTCATCCTCTGCTGTCTTTCTTCTTTTATTTTTATTCTGCTCCATTTTCTTGACAGTGGTTGCCATTTGAGTCTAAGCAGCTGCCCCTGTGGCTAGATCATACCCTAATAGCTTAGCATGCAATCAACCTTGCCACTACTATCCTTACTTTAGCAAAACAAAAATAACCCCCCCATTACCCTCCCCCCACAAAAAAGAAGGGAAACAAAGGGAAACCTTGATTTAAAAAATTATCTATATACATGTGTGTGTTTGTATATCTGTCTTTATACTCAGGGGAAAAACAGATTAATAAAAGATCCTACCTCTGCCATCTGTTTCTGAATTTGGGAGGATAAGAAACATTACATTGTATTTGGCCTCAAAAGTGGGTGGCTGAATTTGTGCATTTTTAAATCTGAGTTTTAATGTTGACCCTTTTTTATTTTTTAGGTATTTATTTATTTTTTTAAGAATCTCATTGGTCTTGTAAGAAACAGTAAAAAGACCCATTGTTTAAAGAAGAATGATACCTTCTGTTTTACAGACTTGCTTTTAAATAAAAGATTTGTTGGGGGTGGTTTTGTATTTTTACTTCCATGATCTTTTAACAGGAAACCCTAGAATCCCATTCAGTATAAAAGTCTGCCTAGGCTACCACTTCTCTATAATATGGCTCATGTAGTCCTCAGTGGGCAAGCGTCCTTGCTCTTCTGTCTCTTCCTTGGGAAGTGCCTCGTTGGACCGGTGAAGAAGCCTCTCTTCCCGATTCTTTATCCTTTGCTCCATCCTCTCCAGCTGCCGCTTGTACTGGTAGCGCTGTTGGAAAAGGTCCTTTGCATAGTCATAGAGCTGCATGTCCAAGTCATTGAGCTCCTCAATCCTCCGTATGGTGTTGTTATCCACCTCCACTCCGCCTGCCCTTGTACTGTTGTACTGCATGAAGGGCCGGATGAATTTCAGATTAAAAGTTCTCTCAAACAGGTATTGAGTCTTCCTCTGGAACTCTGTCAAGCCAAAAAAGGCCATGTCTCTAAGGTTCTTCTTTGCGCTCTCTAGCAGGATCTGTGCTCGCTTGTTCTCAGGGATAAAAGACATGTTGTAGCAGCCCACCAAGCTCAAGTCAGCCAACATCCTCACTTGGCGGTTGTTTGCCAAGTTATACGGGCAATCCATGAACTCCTGCAGCGTGCATCCTGACCAGTCTGTGCCTTCATAGCATGATGGCAGCTCTTCAGGGGTTGGTGTCCGACCATCACACATATGCAAGGAAGTTTTCCAGGTAGCTCCTCGTTGGACGTGCCTCCATTCACTGAGGTAACGGGACACAGGGTCTCTCAGCAGCGTGATGTAGTAAAATTTTCTACAAGAAGAAGAAAAAAAATATTCAGCATGTGACAAACTGTTATGTGGTAAGCTGGGATTTATGGCACAGAACAGCAACAGTCAGTGTCTCAGCATTCATTTAATTTACCTCTCACAGATTCTTTTCTTCCTCGAATCTGTACTGCTAAGCAATCTGAGTGATACCAGGTCTATGTTCTCCTCATAACTCGTCTTTTCCATTTTAGTCACACCAAGTCAGAACTCTCTCTCTCTCTCTCTCTCTCGGGGATATCGCTTTCCAGCAACAGACTGCAATGTCAGAACAAATCATCAAGATTCAACTGATCTACCAGCCTCATAGACCAACTTTGGCTTTAGGGTCTCACTGGCCTTTCACACTAACACGCACCTCCAGAGTCAGCCAAGACTCACTCTGTAGCACTGGCCAATAACTGATTTATTTATAAACTACCCAATCACTATCACCACACGGATCTATTGAGTAGACCACCTAGCACTTTGTTTATCTCACTGCTGAACTGAAACACAGAAGTCTGCATTGAGAAATGGAGCAGCAACACTTTTTTTTTTTTAAATGGGAAATCAGGAAGAAAAAACTCTCTGTAGAAACAGATAAGCAGAGAGAGTGAGATTCTACCCCCAGCAACTGCTAGCTCCCATTTCAGTTGATCCATACAAATGCAAACGAAACATGAGAAAAATTCTGATATGCAAGTGGGATGGATACAAAGGCAAGGCAGTCAAGAACAACATACATAGAGATAGAATATATTTTCAAAGCTCCGAGTGTAGTGGAGTGTATTAAAATGCAAATGGCACCTTAAACTGTATGTCTGATACCCTATGGTGTGCAAAGAGTCACTGCAGCCTCAGTTCATGGTGTGTGTGGCTACCCAAATGTTCTTCATCTCTCATAATAAGGGTAGCCAATTACCAGTTCCAACTGGAGCCTGACCGCAAGGCCCACTGGAGTTCTTTCACTGAATTCAGTGGGCACTGGATCAGACCTTTGGTGTGAAAGGCTTCTAGCTGCTAAAGTAGGCAGGGTATTAGATCCACCGAGGTGCCCCAGGCTTATCCGGCTGTGTGATGTCATCTCCAGGTAGGAGCACAAGGAGCTTTACTGGAATAACACGAGACATGAGAGACTTTGTATCTTGTTCTTCAAGAAGGATGTAGTGTGAGGACAGGAGCAGAATTCTTTTCTTGCTAAACAAGTGTCTGTGGAATGCTGCTACGGCTTGCTGCATTACTGGGATGGCTAGATAGATATAAATGTGACGGACATTAGAGCAGGTTAAGAGGGCACTGCCCTGTTTTTAGAGAAAATAAAAATGCAAAGTAAAAAATTCTGTCTTGGCTAAAGTTAGCGCACACTCATACTTTCCCAACGCCCTCAATATTATGCTTCCTAATGGTCACGCACATTGCTGTATGAGATGGAGCAATTTAAATTAAAGAAAATGCATCAAAGACCTTGCCCAGGAAATCTAATTGGGAAAGAAAACATTCTTTACACTTTCCTATTAATTCTCTAAGAGCCACATCTAAAGCCCACAACAGTGAGTCAGAGTCTATCAACTTCAGTGGGTGTTGTAATCAGGCCCCAATTACTCTTTCACTTTCTGTTTTTGTGACCACAGCTGGTAAGAAAGTCTGCAATTCATGGGAGGTTTTCAATCTCACCCCGCTCCAGAATAATTGCATTGTCTAATAGAGAAACATTGGGCGGGGGGGGGGGGTAGGAAGGGGGAGAAGGAACCTCCCTTAAGTTTCTTTCTCTTCCTTTTACATTGCAACCCATAACAATGATTCATCTCCCCTGACTGGGATGCAGCTATGGTTTATATAAGCAGTGCTAAGAAACCTCTAACAGATGGGGATAAAATATGACAGTGGAAAGACCAGGAAAGCCCCAATGGATGCCAGATGTTCAAGTGACAGACCCGGACACTAAACACAGCTCACATTTTTTGACGTGTGAACTGTAGTGGACTTTTTATTTATTTTTTTAATTTAGTCCCATGGAATCCAAAGGGCATTTTTCATGAAGTAGTTATAAAACTGTATCTTATGCAGATAACGGTAGCACTTAGAAGCTTCAATCAAGTTCTGGGTCTCATTGTGCTAGGTACCATACAAATACATAGGAAGAGATAGTCCCTGCTCTGAAGAGCTTATAATCTAAGTAAGCAAGGGTGGGGAAAAAGGAAGTATTAGTATGCCCATTTTACATATGGAGAAGTGTGGCCCAGAGAGATTAAGTGACTTGGGCAAAGTCACACAGGAGGTCTATGGCAGAGCTAGGAACTGAATCTGAATATCCTGAGCCACTGTCCAGTGCCTTAACCACAAGACCATCTACTGGCCGACTTCTTAACTGCAGAGATAAAATGTACCTAGTATACGAAGAAAAACTAAGATTCCAGATGATGCCCCATATAATGTCTTGAAATGCCAACGTTCCATTAAAACCGAGAAAACCAGCACTTCAGCATTACTATGCTACATCCTGGTATCGTGCAAAAGCTGCAGTAGGGCACAGAAGTGAAAGGATTAAAAAGCAATATCCCCTTCTCCCCAGGATGACTGCAAAAGCTATTTTAATGGAGGGGGAGTACTAGCACATATTTTACAATGTGTGGTCTCTCGCTAAGATTCCAGCAATGGGTGGCATCGTGGGTATGGTGGGCACAGGAGACCGATGATACTGGAAGATTTGGAGGGCTCACTTTCCAGCACAGCAGAAGATTGAAGTAGGAACCACTTCTCCTCAAAAGATAGAAACTGATCTGCTGGTGAGGAAGGAGGATGCACATCTGGGGACTGGAATACCAGCAGCAGGACTAGGTATTTGGTGATGCATTCAGAAACTATGCTGAGCTAAGGACAAAGTCTTAGAAGCGGCGAGGCCACCAAAGGGAGCTTGAAAAAAAGCCACACAAAGGGTACAGAGAGACAATGAGAATTATAAGGAAAGACCAATATTTTCAAATATGAATGCTGATATTAAGGCACCTACATCGACATCATATCACCTAAATAAACTGCTTGCCTTGCAAACGGGCTGAAGGTCTGCATTTCCCATTGGCTTCAATGGGAGTTGTAGGTGCTCAGCTACTCTGGAAATTAGGTATTAATATATGAACATAGGTGCCTATGTTTTGACACACAACAGTTTGAAAACTGACTGTGTGCCTGAAGTTATGCTCCCAAATCCATATTAAACATTGAAACAAGTGGTCTGATTTTCAGAGGCACAGAGAATCCTCCACTCTCAAGAAATCAATGGAAGGACATTAAGTTGATGGGAGCTGCTGGGTGTACAAGCAACTCTGAAAGGCAGGTCACCACTATGTAGGTCATGGGGTCCCAAACTTGGTTCGCGGCTTGTTCAGGGTAAGCCCCTGGCGGGTCGCGAGACACTTTGTTTACCTGAGCGTCCGCAGGTACAGCCGCTCGCAGCTCCCAGTGGCCACGGTTCGCTGTTCCCTGCCAATGGGAGCTGCGGGAAGCGGTGCTCTGTGGCTGGGAACGGCGAACCACGGCCACTGGGAGCGGCCATGCCTGTGGACACTCAGGTAAACAAAGTGTCTCGCAGCCTGCCAGGGGATTACCCTGAACAAGCCGTGAACCAAGTTTGGGAACCCCTGATCTAGGTGAATAATGATGGATTTAGGGGCCTAACTTTAGGCATCCAAGTGTGAACATTTTAACCCAAGATTTTCAAATTCTCCAAACAGAAGTTTTAGAGTTATGCCTAACTTCAAAGAAAAGTTAGCCATACAGCAAGCCTCATCTTTTAGCAACAGTAGGCAGAGGTATTTTTATTAACATAGCAACAACGTATAAGAAAGTCGGAAGCCTAGAATTTTTCTTCAGTGTGGTTAAAAACACAGGCATTGCCACTTGTCAGCAGCAGTTTGAAATTTATGAAGAAACACTTGATTAGTGAACTTCTCTTTTATCATCAGATAAAATAAACCCATACCATACATGCACCTGTGAATGCCCCTTCCTTTCAGCAGGGTGCCCTATGCAGCTACTTAATTCAAATATGCCTAAAGACTGCACTGCTCACTTCAGAATTGTGGTCTTCTTCTAACCCAGATAGTCCTATTCAACACTGCCTCATAAAAAACCCCATCTCATTTTGGTGATGCCATGCCAGGCCTCGCTGACCTTCCTGGAGTTAACAGCTCCAGCAAAAAAATGGAAGCCATATTTGGTAAGGTACTTCGTTTCCCTCCCCCCCCCATGTCAGAGGCAGATAAGGCAAAATCACAGTCCCTATTCTTGGGGGCTCCCCTTCTATGCACCTCCTTGGGGGCACAGGACCCCAAAGAGGGCAAAAAGAGGCTGAGCCCTGGTTGCCTCTCTCCCTTCCCCTCCATCCCTTTCCACCCAGTCCTGAGCTACAATCCAGCCTCAGTCCTGCCCAGGGACATTGCAACTTCAACACCACCTCTTACACTGATCTGTGTGCAAGCTGGATTATCTAGCCCTGAGGAAAGAGGTTTGAAAAAAATGAAAATAACCTGAATTTTCATGGTTTTGGTAAAACAACCAAGTTTTATAACTGCAATTTGAGAAAACAAAGAATCATCATTACACCAGAGGAAGGTTAACTCACTGTACTGAGCTCAGAAAACCTAGGTTCAACTCTTGGCTCTGCTGCAGGCTTCCTATCTGCCCTCAGGCAAGTCAGTCTCTCTGTGCCTCAGTTCACCATCTGCAAAGTGGGAACAATGCTTCCTTTGTCCATCTTGTCTATTTATCTTGTGGGCTAGGACTGTCTCTGACCATGGGTATGTGCAGCCTCCTAGCACAAAGGGGCCCTGATCTTGGTGGGGCCTCTACGTGCTGCTATAGCAGAAATAAGAGTTAAATAATTCCTTGGGCCAATCTTGTCGAGAAACCCCTTGTGCCATTAATGGGAAGTGAAAACCTTTGTCTTATAAACGACACTTTCCTGCCTCACTCTTGCTATCTACCAGCCAACACAACTCTTAGTGA